CACATATTAATAATTTTGTAATGTACTTTCAATTAAAATTCTCCTTAAAACAATAAATGTAATTAGTACGTTTAACCATTTTTTTTGTAAACGAACACGCTATCAATAAATAAACTGTCCTATAGCTTTACTTATTTTTTCAATATATGGATTTTCCAAATGGAATCGATCACCTATTTAAAACCGGCTTCGATGCACTTTAATTAATAATAATATAAACTTTTCTTTCATTGGGCTTACCCCCCATTTTTACACATTGATTACCACCATATATAGAGCAATACACATTTTATTTTCATTAGACGTTACTTAATCTAACTACAAGTTTTACATTAAACGCAAATAATCTTAATACATATCTAACTACAAGATGCATTACATCGGTAAGTGAACAAAAATACTAACTTTAATGTTTTCTTTTAAGAATACCCGATAGATGATCAATTCCCATTCAAATTGACTGTGGATCGGCCTACGTCGCATATAGCAACAACTATCTATCTATTAACAAATTGGGATTTACCATTGCTCAGTTTAGTAATACGACCGGGCGTGCCGCCAATCCTGAGTTCATTTAGCGCGACGCGCTTTTCGTTTGTAGATACTAGAAGACAATTAAAATTATATTTGTATTAATACTTTACAAGAATTTGGGTAGGGTTTTCCTCAACTCCATACCGCCCGTTTCAAAAATGATTATACCACATAATCTCAATTAAATCAATGTCAATTTTTTCAACGATTCGGGTGTGAACCCACATTGAAAGGAAACAGCTTTCAAATTAAAGAACATTTCATCCTACTTAAGAAAAGAAATAATACAAACAAGGTTGATATTGCTGATTGCATGGACAATTACGCTGTGAAGTTCAACAATTCTCCACGCCAAAAAGACTCTTACTACAGTTGCGGTAAATCATTACATTTTCCGTCAGTTTAACAACTCCTTGAATACAGACAAGTTTCTTCCCAATCATTTCCGTGTCGATTTGCAAGAGCTTGTATTGTTGAAGTAGAAAGATATGCGCTCCAGGTGTTTGGCACGTGGTCAAGAAAATAAGAAAGAAGTTTGTCGTAACAATTGGTATCTTCCAAAACCCTTCCATTAGAAAATCTACCATTTATTTCGGTGTAGACACATAAATTCATACCATGGTAAATAAAACGGTACTAAACAATCCTGTGTAATTGTAGAAATTGATCCTATTAGCTGTTTTTTTATGGCGACATGCTTACCATCCGTGGCTTTCAAGTAGCTTAATGGAAAATTCAACAAAAATGGTATCATACCATTTAATGACCAAACTTAAATCCTCCTCTTCTTTATTAAGATTATAAATGCCTCCGCTGAAATGACTGGAGATTACATCGAAAATATAATGAGCATCATTACTCCGTTACAGGACTTGCATGACCAGAACGCTGCCGTCTTAATCGAAGTGGTACTGTTTATCAAGGACAATGTCATGTGGGATGCTGAAATTACCAATAGTTAAATTAAGTGGTCGAATTGTATATATATTTTGTGCATGTTTCTATATAAAACACTAGTTATCATGTGGTTTGCCTATTATAGTCAGCAGAGTTGGCCTGTTGCTTATGATGGATATTCAGCGGTGCCGAGATTACATAGGGAAATGAAGGACTTGTGTTTTGACGCTCAACATGAGCAAGTGTATGGTTTGGGAAGATGGTACAGTGATGAATATTTACATAACCTAGCGGACAAGTACACTAGTGGAGAAAGCTTGTGCCATGAGTATTTATTAATACACAAGGAAGAAGGAAATGGTTTCACCATCGAAGATCATCCAAGAAACTGCTTTTCATGCCTTGGGCACCATGATGAGGATGTAAAATCCAAATCACTTGACAGCTTTGTGAATAACATCGAAAAATATTTACCAAGAGAAGATGTCAACGGGTCGTGTGAAATTTAATGACTATAAACGCAGTGCGGTATATGGTCGTGTGGAAGTTCGCGCACCATGCAGCTCGAATTGGATTATGGGAACAACATACAAGAGATAGGGAACGTTTTAAAAGGTGAATTATTGAGTTAGCCAAAGTTATATCCATTATATTAAATAAGCAACATAGGGAAGCTATATACATTAGTCGCTTTAGTAATTGTGAATGTATAGAAATGAAACAATAAATTTGTAAAAAAAATTTATTTTTTATATTATATTGCATCAGAGGTAGATATCCAAGAATTATGAGAATTGTCAAATCCTAACCATTTTACAAAGGGCTTATCTCCTCGTCGACGTATTACACGTTCCACTAAATGAATGTCTGGAAATTTGACAGCCTGCAGTTCTGGTTCGTAAAAGCGACCTTTGATGACTTGCTGGCGACTATCTCGCAAAATATATGAAATTGGTGTTGATCGTTTTACTTGAAAAACTTCATAGCTCCAGTTAGGGGTATAACCTTTAGTTAGAGAATACACTCCTATGATTGCTGATACGCACATAATCTCCCACAGCAAACTTGGAGGGTTTGGGATCCATAACTTTACGGTATTTGTAAGGTTTATGTAAAATGCTCGCAGAATTTTTATCGTTAACTTCATTAGGTTCAGTAGTTCGATGTTTAGTGGAATTGGATATAAGCGATAGCCATTTGTAAGAACCCTGTACGCTGAATGCCTTCCACATCATTCCTTTAAGAGTTCGATTAACTCGTTCCACAATACTGCTTTTAAGATTAGAATAACTACTATAATGATTGATGTTGAATTTTTTCATAACGCCACTGAAGTTCTTATTATAAAATTCCTTTCCCATCAGTTTGTAGATTTTTTGGAAGTTTTCTAAATCCAGATAACAGTTTATTCATAACGTCTGCTACGAGTTTTCCATTTTTACGTTTTATAGGATATGCCCAAACAAACTTTGAAAATGCGTTTATAACTACCAAAATGTAGCGAATACCCTTGTTAGTCCCAGCATGCGGTATCATTTCAACTAAATCGGCTTGAAATAAATCATTAAGATCTTTTATCACCACAGATCGTCTTGGAAAATTCTTTCTTACCGGTTTATGTAATTCTTCCACTATCACTTTCTTACTCATTTCTTAAGCTTGGATTGCAATATGACATTCAGATAAAATCCCACACCTACACCAGCAGAGTCGCATGATACCACTAAATATATCATTTCTTTTCAATGTCAACCCGATCAACGATGAATATATATATATATATATATATATATATATATATATATATATATATATATATATATATATATATATATAACGAAAGATAATGCTATGTATTGTAGTAGTTCGCGCCCGATTCTTACAGTGTGCAAATCGTTTATGGCCAAGTTTGAGTACAATGGCGGATTTAATAAGTGCATGGTGGTTAAGTTTGAGTGACGACAATTTAGATACATTAAGTGATCGACATAATATTGACTTTGAAGAGTTGTTAGTTGCCTCCCACTTCTTCGAGGCTATACGAATGTCCTTTATGAATAATTGGACATTTAAGCAGGAAAGATTCACGGACTTTATGCAAGGTATACGGAAAAGTGCGATGGAGCGTGTTACCCATTGCGCTACGCTGTATAACCTGTGCATTAAGAAAATGTTACCCAGGCATTTAAAATGGGGCAACTTACCGGTCATTGTCCAAGCTGAGTTGAAGTGGAAACATGCTAAACTAGCGGACATTGATCTGGTTAAGTTTGAAGAGGAGGCCAAAGAGACTATAATAGAAATAATCGAAGAAATAAATAGCGATTTAGTTTTAAGTAAAACCCTTATAAGTAGTTTAGTAGATAGTTTAAATATAATTAGGCATAATATTGATTTATTTAATAGCGATTATTTTAAGGATGTTAGCTTTAGATATTTAGAATTACACAATACAACTTATTGGAATAGAGTTAATTTATCAGAATCTTGTAGAGAATATTGTAGTAGATGTAGAGATGTAGTTAGCTCAAAAGGGTCCTGTAATAAAGGATCCGGTGCAACAAGAACGCAATGTGCGACAACAGTACGTGGGTGAATTTGTGTATCCGATAAATAAATCGCAGTCCAAGTACGTGAGTATTTCACTACAACCGGATCGTGCATTTATACCCGTTGTAAAATTAAGTGGTTGAGTTGAGTTCGTCAGTGAAGTTTAGTTTACATTCTCTTTAAAAAGGGTAAGTACGTTACATATTTCACCATGAAATGATTTACTTGCCATAAGCATTTTGCAGCACTTTCTTTAATGATTAAGTATTTTAAGCGCCAACATGACTTCAAAAGCAACTCAATTTTTCGTTATGCTGAAGTTGATTGTAGTCAATCGTTTCAAAATATATGCAGTTTGGAAGAGCATATGAGTAGAAAACATCTACAAGATAAAATTTTATTAGCGGAAATTAATTCTTCTGTCGAATCTCACCCATCCAGATCCAGTTCAAATACTACGATACAACATAACAATTTTGAATCAATTGATCAACCAATTCAAAATGCTCCTATTATAGCTCACCAGATCGACAAGGAAATCTTAAAAGATTCTGAAAGACCTAGTACCTTCATCATAGATGAATTTCAAAAAATATTGGACAATGAAGCAGCTAAATGTGTGTCATAGCCTTACACAATAACAATAATTTTTCTCGAAAGAATGTGTTCGATATTCTTAAATACACAGATACACTTTTAGTTGTTTCGCTGAATACCAATTTAACAAGTTAAAAAAGTAATCGTAAACGATTTACAAAAAGCGCATTTCCACTTGCATTCATTTCCCATTTGTAAGATGCAACTTCTGTTAAAATCGTAAACATCCCGGTCACAAATATGAAAGATAGCGTTGCATATGTGCAATCCATTTTTGACGTGCTACTTCAATTTCAGTTTATAAGAAGAATGTCATTTCAATGCTTTCCTAAATAATAAAGTTGGCATGCGCAAAACCAAACTTTGAAACTGGCGTTAGATTTTCCTTTATTCCAAGCACCAATGTATCAAATTTCACTTAAATGCTTCCATAGATAAAAAAAAGTTGGCACTGCGCATGCGCAAAACCAAATTTTGAAACTGGCATAAAGCCTGCCACAAACACAGAGACATGTCCGCGTGCCATAACGTGCGTTGATGTACGCTCGTCTGTGGCGATAATTTGCACGCGCGCGCCCTTGAACGTTGCTCATTCATGTCTTCCGTTATTACTTGAAAACATGCACGCGCAACCATAAACGCGCGTTGATGAATGTCAATGTGTGGCGAAAATTTATGCTTACTGAGAGATATCAGTCAGTGTGGTGCAGCGCATTTTTTAATCTTCTTTTAGTCTATCTTCAAAACCGTACAATGAGCGATTTAAGAGGTATTACGAAGGAATTTCTGACGGAATTCATTCTTCTGTATCAATCATTTCCGTGTCTCTGGAAGACCAAATCCAAAGAATATATGGATAGAAATTTAAAAAATGACGCTTATAAAATTTTAACGGAAAAACTAAAAGAAGTGGAGGAAAACGCTACAAAAGAAGCAGTGAAAACAAAAATAAATACTCTCCGCGGAGGGTTTCGCCGAGAAATGAAAAAAGTTTTAAATTCAAAACGATCAGGGGCAGGCGCAGATGATGTGTATGTCCCAAATTTATGGTACTACGAACTGTTGCTGTTTATTAAAGACCAAGAACTTCCACGGCAATATGTAACAAACATAGAAGTAAACTGCGATAATGAAGAATGATACAGCACTATTTTGATTAAAATAATCCATAAATAACTGTCTTACTTCTTTTGCAGTATTATTACTGTGTCTATTGTAGCTTCGCTGTAAATTGTTCATATTGCATTGTAACCCAAGCTCAGTCAAAACAGTAATTATCAGGCGTGTATAAACTTGCATATTTTCTTCTTAAAAAATTATGTAGAACGCAACAAGCCATTACTACCCTTTCAATAGCTTTTAAATTAATGCCAATTGCTGTGTGAAATATTCTGAATCGAGCTGACATGATTCCAAACGTATTTTCCACTCTGCATCTCGCTCGCGATAGTCGGTAATTAAATATTTTTTTATCATGGTCTAACTCTCTTTGATTGAATGGCTTTAAGAAATCTGGCCGTAGAGTGAATGCTTCGTCTCCTACAAATATAAATGGAAAACTGTGATTAGTATTTTTGAGACTTCTTGGAGGTGGCAAGCATAGTGTTCCATTTTTAAGTTTGTCATAGAACTTTGTATATTCTATAACACCTCCATCTGATATCCGTCCATTTACTCCAAAATCAATCATGATAAATTCATAATTGGAGTTTACTACCGCCATAAGTACCAAACTATGTTCACCCTTATAATTGAAAAAATAAGATCCACTTCCGCGAGGTGGAATTATACGGACGTGTTTTCCATCAACCGCTCCTAACAAATTAGGGAAATTGGTCGTTTTATCGAAGTCTTCGGCAATTTTCAGCCACTCGTCTTCTGTTGATGGAAACTAAAACAAAAAATAAGCAATACAAAAATTTAAATTAAAGAAAAAACTTGTTAAAATAATGTTTATTAACCCATATCATTGTTTAATTTGCAGGAAAATCGAAATGTGGATAATGAGGATTTTGCTTTAAGCCCTGCTTCTAATATTAGTCGCGCTGAAACCGCCCATTCAAAAAGTGAAACAATTGTAACCACACCAGCCACAAAACAAAAAAGACGAAGACATGATAGAAAAGCAGAAGAACAAACAGATGAGATTCTGGCAGTCGTTAGTGAACGGTTACGAGCTGGTCCAAAAATAGATGATAACTTTTCAATTTTTGGTGCTAATGTTGCTGCTAAGTTACGAAGTTTGCCCACAGAAACTCGACTTTATTCAGAAAAGTTGATAAATGATGTTTTGTTTGAAGCCGAAATGGGAAATATTAATAGAACAACTAAAATAGTCACATCCTCGATTCAATCTTTTGCCTCACAAAATAACACTTTTAATTACCCTTTGAATTATTTATGTGGCGTACGTACACCTTTCAACGCTTGATACACACTAAATAGCCAGCAACAAGCAGAACCAATTTATCAGGATCAAACATATCTGGGCGCTCAGCACTCATCTGAGATACAACAAAACATAAATAATCCGCCGATTTTTCAATCACAAGGAACTGTGAACTGTTTGCCAGTAAGTTCCTCTGGTACATCTGACAATAATTCCCAAACTGTTGTTTCATTCGTACGAAATTTTACTCCTTGATTAAAGGTTGCATTATGTAGGATCACCCAGTTTGTTTAGAGTCTATTTATGTTAAGAATATATTATTTGTACTTTTTATTATTTTGTATTTGCTAAAGAGACCATGTTATAAGTTGTTTTCTTTTCAATGTATTATTAAAATAAAGCACAATACATACGTGAGAAAATTGTACTTACCTTCAGATATTTCTGACAAAGTACTCGGTAAATCGCACTGCAACACTCAGGAATTATTTGTCCCAGAGATTGGGGTGAAATAATGGTCGTAAATTTTAAATCTGCATAATTCCTACCGGTGGCCAAAAATCGAAGTGTAGCCGTTAAACGTTCATGGGCCGATATAGCAGGTCTCATAGTAGTATCTTGTTTTTCGATTAATGGCGTCACTAGATCTAGAAGCTCTACGTAACAGCTTTCATCCATTCGCAGGTAATTCCGCCAGTCGTCTACTTCCAATCGCAACTCTTCTAATAAATGTATATGGGAGAACTGATTTCTTTTTAATAGCCATTCCTTCACCCATTTACTCCTTGCTTTTCTTTTTTTCCGTTGTAAATGTAACTGTTTTTTTTTTAACGCGTACGCCACTGCCATAACACAAAACTGCTCTTCATTGTATGAAGCCATTTTTTGAACTGGAGAACTACACAAACATCTCCTTGTGTTTGTGGACATCAAGTATGTTCATTCAATGCACGCGAGTTTAGGAACGCGCGTTAATGCACGCGGACATGTCTCTGTGTTTGTGGCAGGCTTTAGATTTTCATGTACACACCCGAGATCCCGTCCACTTCGGCTCTTCCAATTGCTGCAGCGCGGGAGATTGCGTTACAAGCACAACTCCTGCAAAAAATGCTGCAGAAATATGCAGACCAACTACAACAAACGCAGGAAAGAACATCGCATTTAGAACGTCATGTGGATGCGAATGGAAGAACAAAAACTTGAAGGGGGACATGCGAACAATAAGTTCAAAAATTTTGCGCTTCTGGAATTTTTAAATTTGTCGTGGGCTCTATGCAGTTTAAAAACTTTTCTCAAAGGTAAATGCATTTTATAAGAACTGTTTTATCTATTAGAAGTATAATTTTCCAAAAATGTCAATGCCTTAACCCCAAAATGAGGTCCTCTACATATTACCGAAACGTGCCGTGAAAATTTAATTTGTACTTACACATTTGCACTTAAGAAAAGCGACATTTACGTTTTTGGAATTTTTAAACTGATAAATACAACCAAAACAATTTTTTCACGAATAACGTTAAAATACAAAGCGCGTTTCCGCAGTTGACCAAAGAATGAACTTTTATTGGATAATTATAATGCAGACTATGGGGATATTTTATACCTACACAAAGGATAATGATTTTTTAATTACTAACTATTAATGGAATATGTGTGGAAGTAATTATTCCTTTAGTTTTGCACCAGTCATTAAAAGGTTTGTACGCCTTTTCGTACCTCTTTCTTGATTTTGTGGGGAGCGAATATTGTACTACGGCGGCCGCAGCTTCGGCTACATTATAACAATGTCCCGCGTAGGTACTCTTCTTCGCTGATACCTGCTTTTGTACCTAGTTATAAAGACTGTATAGTTGAAAAGTACAAAGCATTTTCATTTCATTTCACACACGGGCCAACCCCAATTTTATCATTTGAAAGGACCAGAAAGAAAGGAGGTAAAGACCAGGCCCCCTATTATTACAACGTTCCGGCCATTAACATTTAGTGTCAATGAATCAGGGAACACCTTGCAAATTTTTTGTAATTAGTAAATTCACATAAAAAAATTCTATTGCCTTTTATTACCTTTAAATTCTGTCCAATAAATCGCTTCAGTGCCGATGATCTTATGTCAAACGAACTTACCCAAGTGATATTCAATCTTAATTATGCGAAGACCTCGTCGAATTAACAGTAAAAGTACGTATTTCACGTCACCTGTTAAAGACACCATAACTTTCATAATGAGTTACTACGCAAAGATGCTACATCTATCACAACGAAAAAACAGTCTGATGAATAAAGTAATGTGGTTGCTTTTTTTTCAGAAGGGATAGATAGGTACATGCTTTGCCCTTCTCCGAAGGTTTCTTAATATAAAATTGTTGTCATTTAGCATTTGTATTTTATCTTTACCCGTAAGTGTTCACATTTTATGATTCCGAAACAAATGTATTAGTATAAGGGTAAGTCCGGGATAGATGGCCATACTAGGTAAGATGGCCATGCTTAATATTGCTTACATTTGACGACAGATGTCTGCGTGTGTACAGTAAAGAGCCAGTTTTTGTGTCAAAACGACGAAGTGACATCATACAATACGTTGCTTTATTATTACAATACAGAGCTAAAACCAAATCAAGGTAAGTGAAGTAGTTTTGAGATGTTGCATGATCAATCCGTATTTTGGATGTTGACATAAGTTATTTGGTTGAAATTAAACATGTAAGTAAAACACACTTTGAAGTTTTTCCTAACCTCAAAATAGTGTCGTAATTTTACGTTTTTCTAGAAATTCAATGGGTGGCAATCTCTCCATGGTAAACCGGGTGAGATGGCCACCCTAATTTCGGGTAAGATGGCCATAGTAGGTACCCGTGTAGGTATCTAATCTGTATTTTTTTCAGATGCCAAATACGTACATAAAAAAACCTGGTGTATCACGAGGTTTATGCACCCAAGAAAATCTTCTCCGTGCCGTCCAAGGTATTGAAAATGGTTCTTCTGTAAGAAATGCATCTATATATGATGTGGAAAGAGATGTTTGAAAAATGCGTGAAGCGAATAGACCTTAAAATTTGTAGCCTAGATTTAGTTTTGTTCTAATAAAAATTGTTAGTTTCCACTACTGTCAAGGTATTATTTTATTTATGTTTTGTAATTGCAGTAAAATTAACGCCTGAAGATGCCTTATCGGCGAAACTAGTCGCATTTAAAATTTTTGACAACAATAAATTTCATGCGGAAGGTATATTTATTAAATTTGGAAGAAGTTTGGAATTTATTTAATTGTCAGACGTTGGGCGAATACTCGGACATTTATTTAAAGTCTGACGTGCTTTTATTGGCCGATATATTTGAAAACTACAGACGCGTGTGTTTACGTAATTACGTAGTTGACCTGGCCCATTATTTTACAGCCACTGGACTTAGTTGGGACGCTATGTACCTACGTGGAATTAGAGTTACTGACAGATATTGACATGCTTAATTTTTTAAAGGGGGTATTCAAGGCGGTGTGAGTACTTGCACTAAACGCAAAGCAATCACGAACAATAAATTTCTCCCCAATTATGATCCTTTCAAACCGAGCTCCTTTATCATTTACCTAGATGCATGTAACCTTTATGGCCATTCGCAAATTCCACAACTTGACTTTATTTGGCTCACACCTGAAGAAATTCAAAATTTTAATGTTTTAGTTGTAAAAAAAAGTTGATTTAGAATACACCGAAGCGACTTGACAATCACAACGATATGCCGCACTGTCCTGAATCTCCAAGTCCACCAAATGGTAGTTCCAAGTATAAAAAAAATTCCAAATTTAAATCATAAGGAAAAATACGTTATTCATTATAGGATGCGAAAGCAATGTTTGGAACACGGGTTAATTTTAATACAAATTACTCGAGCAATTAAATTTACGGAATGTTGATGTTAATCTAAACTATATTGTTCCTAAAAAAATATTGTGTAAATTCTTCTTAATTTTAGGACGGCTTAGGAAGTAATTTTCGATTTACAAGTATTCCCAGAGGACAAATTATTATTAACGCTAGAATTGTTGTGGTTGGAAAATTGGACACCAACAATTGTAATGCAAATAGTTCAGCATGCAGTCAAGATAGCCACTATGAAAAAGGACCTGTGCAGCAAACGCTTCATTGACCAAGACCTTCGTGCAAATAATGAAGGCGCTGAAAACGAAGTCAAAGAAATGATCACGTTCGAAGAATTGAAAGAGCACTTACAGGACGAGCCATCTTACATGACATTATCCCAAATGTTAATAGAAGAGGAGCAAAAGAACATCTTGGAAGAAGCTTGCAATGTAATTATAAAGGTTTCTTCTGCGCCTTCATTCATACCGACCACCTCCACATCGTCCACGATTGCAAATTCAGTATCGGAGGATATAGCTGTAGCAGGTTACATGGATTGCCAATTAAAAAGCGATCTCGGAAAATTCTTTGGAGAAGCACAGTTACAGTAAAATAATGGGTGCATCTCGCAGCATATAGTCTGGTCTGCTCGAACCTAGACAAGCGTGGTCACTATCTGGTGCAATTGAATGTCTATCCAGTTTTAGCAATTCAAAATTTGGAGAAGACGAATTGGTGGAAACATGCGATAATCAGAACACACTTTTTAATATCCCTATTAGACAGTCTTCAAATAAAAGTGGACGGAGTAATTCAACAAGCTATGAAAATGAGTGGGAGAAAATCAAAATACCAGTAACGAAGTAAAGAAGAGAAACTTGTCGAGTTTTTACGGTAATTCCCCACCTGCCCCCTACTGGAAGTCACATGCATGGTTTTGAAGAAAATAGATCCACAATTTTTAGTATGTATCACCTGGCCTACGAAATTTCACAAAAACCATTATATGAAATGTTTCAACTTTTAAATGAGGGCACTCCGCAATTTTCAGCTCCTCTGGGTATGATTGAAGATTATTACTTTCCTATAGGTAAGTCGGTTTGTATCTTGCATAATTTTATTTATATTGGTAAGAATTTTAAATAAGGAAATACCAAAAATGAATTGTATTTGTATTATAGGACCACCAGGTGCGCTGGGAAACATTTTTTTTTATTGTATTATAAGTTTTTTTTTGTAACGTAGGATATACCGGGTGAATATTCCAAAACCGAACATAGGGAATTAACATGGGAAAAAGGTTTTTTTGCAGATTGTTGCTCCCCATGTTAACTTAAGAGGGTTTACCCGTATAATGACACCAATCGAAAGATTTTTTGTCTCATCTCTTGGTATACGAATTAGTTCATTTTCAGGTGTAGTTCACATTATTTTATCAAAAATTCTGTTATGAAACAAACCAAATGTTGACTGTGGTTCATGGCCCATGGGATACAATGTTATTAGGAGGTGATATGTTACATGTAAAAGTGAAATATCAATGCGATGTAATTGTTATTAAGACACTAAATGAAAAAATTAAATGGTATATCAGTGAATGTTAAAAATACGCTTCGGTTGACGAATGTTTGTGATCACCTTCCTACATCAACAACTTCAAGAAGATGTGCTAGGTGCAGTACAGACGGCCGTCGTGAAGAATTTTGAAGGCATACCACTGTTTGTCGTTACAGCGCCCTCCAGTACTCCACTTATCATAACATCATTTGGACCGATCACATACACCATGCCTGAAACCAATAATAATACACTAGAACTGTATTTTTATTCCCTTAAAAAACATAGTACGCTTTTCTGCATAACTTTACGAAACATTCCGTTTTACAATAAAAGATAAAATGTTGATAATAATAATGGGCGATAATACCATTTGCCTTACCACAGTATTTACATGTTAAGGATTCACCAAGTTATGGAAAAAAACTCACATAATTCGAAAACTCTTCCATTTAGGCTTATGATTTTTGTTTGTAGTAAATTTATTCATTTACGTAAAGTAATAAAGAAAACAAAAGGAATCCCATTTAAAATAGCAAAGTGTGATCCGTACAACTAGAAATTGTATAAAAGTTAAATGATCTCATTTTTGATAGGAATGAAAAATAACAGGAAGTGTTCAGCGTGGTGGAGATACTAGCCAACATATGTCTGTCAAATAGCACTAGAGATGCACTGCCACTATGTATGTTGGTAGCTGCTCACGAAGAGGCTGTCAGAGACAAACAAGAGAAGGAATTTTATACATGTCATATGTTCTGAACTTCCATTTTAAATTGTGCTACGCGTCCATTTTAAATAAGAATGGCAGATGTGCAATGTGCAACGAAGGGGTTAGTAAATCTACCAACTTAAAATACATGTTCGAAATGATGACATTCCTCTTGATGGCATGACCGCAACCTGGATTCGGCTACCCAGAGGTATTTGTTGGGGGGGAGGGGCTTTAACATTATAAAAAGAATTTGCGGAAGATCAATTGCACACAACTATTACCTACAACTTATGATTTAAATCAAGCTTAATCACTATTTTAACAAAAGGCGAGGACAGTTTACCAGTGAGTGCCGTGATGCATTTTCAGGAGTAATTTATGGCGGTTTAACTGCATACACGAGACGAGACCAGTGGCGGCTCTTCCTTAGGTTTGCAGGTTTGCGCAACCCCAAAAGAAAAATCCATTAAATTTAATTGTATTAAACGCGAAGTAGCGTTTTGTATTGCAGTGGCAGTCAAATT